GAATATATAAATGCGGAGAAGATAGGCAACCAAGAAAGGTATCTCAATAATACAAATTTCACAACAGCTCAACCAGCAATGAACTAACACAACTCCTATTACCCAAGAGCGTGGAGCAGGTATAGTAAACCAATGGGGTTAAAGTCACCGTGTATCCGCTAGCTTTCTGAAAATTTATCTATCAACCAAAAATACAACTCTTTGACCATACACAAAAGTACACCAACCTTAATAGTTGCAGTCATCAGCTTGCTGTGCCAGTTGTTTCATCTCAGAACAAGCTCCATAGTGTTTATAACTTCAGTTTATCATAACAGTGTGGTTTTATCTGTATCCACCACCATATGGCTGTTGTGGAGCATAGCCACCAGAACCCATCATGGGGTTGTAACCACCAGGCATGATGGAACCAGGAGTCCCAGTTTGTGGTTGCATTGGTGCCCCTCCCATATTCATTCCCATGCCTACGTTCATACCCATGTTCATCCCCATTGCCATGCCCATTGGTGGATTCATATTTCCATAGCTGCCTCCCATACCCATGCCAACACCTGGACCACCGCGCATGCCCATGCCCATACCCATACCCATGCCCACGCCCATGCCCACGCCCATGCCCATGCCCATGCCAGAGCCTATCATCGGATTTGGTGGAGGTCTAAGACCGCTAGCACCAGTGCGACCTAATCCAGAACCAGATCCCATGGCCTTGCCCATTGTTACGGTAGATGTTACTGGGGTGGCCGCAGGTTGTTTTTCCATCCTCTTTTCTTTCCTATTAATCGCATCAAAATCAACGCCAATGTCTGCCAACGGATTTATTTTAGCTGCAGAAAAGGTTAATGTTATTTCACATATAATAATATATAAACCTGAAGATTTTTTAAAGAAAAAAACTATAGAAAAATGTAAGCACTCACGCCCGGAGATATTCAAATTGACTAGTCCCCTACTCAATGTATCTGCCCAAACTGTTGACTTGGGCTCAAATTTCGGTCTAGATGATTGAGGAACTGTAGCAAGTGGTCCTGATGAAGATGGAACAGCTGGCTGTGATACCACTGAAGCATTTGATCCTGTTTGTGAAAAGAAGTTACCTAGGACATCATTGTTGTGTTGTGCAGATGGTCCTGTTGGATGCAAAGCCAATGATGTTGCAGAACTAGGCTGTGCAAGGAAGTTTCCATTGTTAAGCTGTGCACCTGGTCCAATTGTAGTATGATGTGAAATTTGTGAAGTCACTGAGGCTGGAGAACTTGGTGGAAGGAAGTTTCCACCGTTAAGATGTGAGGCTGTTCCAGGTAACATATGCTGTGGAATCTGAGTGTTCACAGGATTCAAAGAACCTTGTTGCGGAAGGAGGTTTTCACTGCTAACCTGTTGAGGTCCTGTTGGATTCTGAGGTAGAGAAGACACATATGAATTCACAGGAGCAGAACCTCCCTGCGGGAGGTAGCTCCCACCACTAAACTGTGCAGTTTGTCCAAATGGAGTTTGTGGGCCCATGTTTGAGGCTACTGAAGATACCGAACCTGCCTGTGGGTGAAAGCTTCCATACATGTCAGAACGTGGTTGTGCCGGTTGGGCAGTTGAGGCTGAAAATGCTGGCTCAGAATAAACAGCAGAAGAAGGTACAGAAGGTGGGAGGATGTCTGCCAGAATATCAGTTTCCTGCAGGGGAGGTGTTGACAGTTCTTGAGGCAAGAACTGTGAGTTTACCGAAGGAGGTTGAACATTGGAGATACTGGGTGCTGGGTATGTAATAGCTGAAAAGGAGTCCCCAAAGCCAAAGTTATCATTTGTGTCCACTTTTGAGGCTGGCAACTGGGTATTTTCCACATGGTCCGCAGTTGCCTGGAAAGGAGCCATGGCTTTCTGCTGTTGAGTTGGGTCGGTGGCAGTAGAAGGGATAGCCTTAAAAGGAGTGTCTCCAAATGGATCTTCAAATGACTGCATCAAAGACAACTATTTTAAACCCAATGATGACCAACT